CTCTATTGTTCTGTTTTCACGTTCACTACCACCATTTTGTTGAGGTGTATATGATGCTGTTAGTCTTTGCGTGATTCCATGGCTGCGCAGGATGTTTCGAACTTCTTCGTTGTCAAACTCACCCCCATTGTCACTCAAAAATTCTTTTACTTTATGACCTTGAGTCGCTGCTTGAGACAAAATATTTTGTAGTGCCTGTTTCACTTCATTTTTGTGTCTAAGAAAAGAAATGAACCTCATTTTGCTGTAATGATCTTTGAAAACAACAAAATATCGTTTACTATTAAATGATTCTGTACTGAAAGGACCACAAACATCTGCTGATAGTAGTTCACCTGGTTTATTGGTTGCATTTCTCTTGCCAAATTTTAACCGATGTGCTTTACCATAGAGACATGGTTCACACAAATCCTTGTCAAGATGAACTTTAATGTTTAACTCCTTTTCTATAACATTCTTTATGTGACATTTATCTTGATGACCAAAACGTTCATGGTAGAGCTGCACTATTGAATTTTCACTGACTATATTCACTTCAGCCGGTGTATTTGGAGTTAATGAAATCAAGTTTGCCTCATACAAGGAACCATCTACTCGTCTTGTCCCTTGTACTACCACTCGGTTCTTTATACTTAGTTGACATTTGGTTGCATAAGATTCAAACTTGCTGTTTTTTGAATTTTTATCTTTTTATTTAATATGGAAAACAGGTTTCTACCTATATTTGGAACATACCAGACATATAAGAGTTTTATATACTGTTGTTTGTTATTTACTGTTGACAGCATATTTATTTCGCCTCTACCCACAGCAGCAAGAACTTCTTTTCCTGCAGCTTGAACAGAACATGGTGCGACAAACTTCTCAAAAGTAACAAAATTATCTGGATTGTTCGTTAGGTGTATTGTTGCTCCATTGTCAATATACCACTTAGTGTTGTCTCTCAGTGTTTGATTACTGGCTGACGTGCACAAAACTACATTTGATGTTTCATCATATGCTTTTCTTGGTGTCGCTGAAACATTTTTGGAATTTTTAGAAGGTCTTCCATCACTGACCCACTTTCTACATTGCCTAACCTAGAAAGTCTTTATCTCTCTTTCGAAAGCACAGAGATGAGTGATTAAATCATCTATCGACTGCTTTTCTTCACCTAGCATTAGCCAACTTGATTTGAAATTTTGGAAACTATTTGGGAGAATCTGCATCGCTTTGCATACTAATAGCAGCTCTGGTAGTTTATTTTCTCCCGATGCCTGAAGCCCACTGTTTAATTCATTCCATAAAGTTTTCAATCTTGCAATTTGGCCGGATACATCTACATCCGCTATCCAATTGAAATCGAAAAAATTGCTACAAACTTGGAACAGTTGGTCCTTAGTTGACGCTTCAAAATTTCTTTTTAATTCCTCCCAAACTTCAAACGCTGTGTTCTTGTCCATAATCTTTTGGTATGTATCTTCTGTGACTGCATTTGCAATTACTGATTTGGCATAACTGTTTGCCTTTCTAAACAGATCTGATTTATTTTTAAAATCTTTTGCCTGTTGCTCTGTTTGGTTTTCTAGTAATTCTGGTTTCGACAACTTCCCATCAATCACATCAAGTGCGCCCTCATGGTAGTCCATGAAATCTCGAACACGACGTTTCCAAATGGGCCAATCGGCTGCGCAACTTAACTGCTTTATTTGAAGCTTTGAATCCATTTCTTTCTTGTCTTTCAAGTTTACCTTTTAATTAGAAGCAAAATATCGAATTTCAGGGAATGAAGAAGCACGTGCTTTCTCTTCACTTCAGTCTTCACAAAGGAATCTTCCGATATTTCTTTATTCTAAATTTTCTTCGTCAAATCAATTAATTAAGAAAAAACGTTATCTGGGTCCCATAACCTGTTAAATTTCTTATTACGTAGATCGCTTAATTAATTGATACAATATTGAAAGACATTAATAGACAAGAAATAAACTTTGCAACGTTCTCGACTTGTTTATTATCAACCGGATCAACAGAAAAGGGAAAAGTGAAGCTACATACAAAGCAAAGAACATTTGGTCCAAAGAAAATAAATGTATATTATAAATCATAATGTTTTAATATAAAACATAAAACTTAACAGTTAATATGTTTGTAGTTCGTTTATGTTTTTATTCAATTTTCTCACTAAAGTTTTTTGGTGAACGCTTAGTATATTAAAATTCAAAATAAACTTATTTTCTGAATTCATGCTGCAAATAAGGCCATATTTCGATTCCGAATGAATCATCATCAGTGTAGCAGCATGAATTCGAAAAATAAGTTTATTTTGAATTTTAATAAACTAAACGTTCACCAAAATCTTTAGTGAGAAAAATCGAAAAAACGAACTACAAACATATTAACGCCAAGCATTCGGTAGAATTTATAGAATATTGTAAAAATTATGGTCTATTACCAACACACACACACACACACAAACACACACGCACGCACACACACACACATATATATACATATATATATATATATATATACATATATATATATATGTGTGTGTGTGTGTTGAAAGGAGACCATATTAATAAATTTACAGTTTGTCTTTTAAATTTCCTTACTAGAATTTTATGGAAGTTGTTCAATTCCATCATGAAAATTTAATGAAACTGCAGTGGCCTGATTGGTTGGAACGCCTTCTGGCCACGCACTGTTATGTTTCACGAAAATCATTTTGGCATGCTTGATGTCGTCGCAATCGCTTATTAAAGTAGATGGCGGAATATTCTGTTTGACATCATTCTTCCTGCTTTTTAACAAAACATTGCTTCATAGTTGATCATCTTGAAATATTGTTGACACGATTTCTAACACGAAAAACTATTTCCATTTTCCAAATAGAATTCTGTTGGCAATAATCTCTAATTGAATCAACTGCTTTTAAAAACTTCTACAAAATGTGAAGCCTAGAGTTTTTCAGTTGAAGGCTGCAATTGTTTCTTTTATACGATTGTTAAAAATCCATCATTACTAATTTTGTCATTTACTGCAGTTTTATTCAAAGGTTTTTCAACTGCTATCTCAGCTAGTGCGTTTTTGTTGTCAACTCTAACTGCTGGATACTCATATTACTACTTTCGGCTGCAAGTGCACACTGCGATATTAACATTATTCGTTTGTTGTTGTTATTAATAAATAGTTTCTCAGTGGCGGATTTAAAGAAGACCTGTGGTTGTGAGAAGTATTTTCTAATAAAATACAGTAAAACTTATTTTTTATGCTCACAAAAATACCGTTTTAAGTAGAAAATTGGAAATAAATTTGTGCGATAAGCAAAAAATGTTGCCAGCCTAATTCTTGCCACAAAAATTATTTTAAAATTTAGGCCCCAGTTGACGCTCCCTGTATCCACCTCCGTAATTTTTGAAACGTTTACATTAGTTGTATAAAATATCATTCTGATCGAACAACCTGATTTCAAACGCTTAATCTAGAAACGTGTTTTTAAATTTTGTCAAACAAATGAAAGATAGTGCTATACATTTAATACAACATTTTCATTTAGTACGGCAGTTATACAGTGCATTCTCTTTAATTTTTTTCTGCGTTTGTAAGAAATTTGTATGTGGGAGCTTTTGTGCAAGTCATTAAGGGACATACATCTTACCTAATGTATTTAAAATTACGATCGAACAAGATGCTTACGTAAAAGCGCCACGTTCTTACGGCGTTTATTCATGTGCATACAATTAAACGCAAACTGCGCCTGACCCTTGTGCGTGCCACTTGTGCTCCTTCAACATTACTTTCATTAAACTATTTCAATTTCTGATTATGTACCGTATACAAATAGATAAATTTTTATAAATTTATTTGTATTTTTTTTCAACTGAATAAATGTTTATTGATATATTTATTTGAATGAGAAAAAAACAAATTTATAACCTTATAACCTTATAAATTTATTACAAATCTAAATAAACCGAGTATTGACTAACTAAAAATGAATTCTTTGTAATTAAGTAAACATACGTGTAGCGCCTGTGTTAATGATTGAATTAGTGAATAAATAGAATAAATAAATGAATAAATAAATTACACACACACACACACACACACACACACACACACACACACACACACACACACAGCTTACCCTGTCCTCCCCCCTCCGATCCGCCACTAGACAGGGCGGAACAAGGCAGAATAAAGACACTTTGCACACACAGAGAATGGTGAAACCTTGAAATAGTCCTATATAAGCGCTGATGATGAGTGAAATCGAAATATGGCCTAAACGCTTCACCATGAACACCAACGATTTTTATATTAAATTTAATAATTTTTATAATAATGATTATATATTGAAAAGCTCAATCGTAAACTTTCAAAAGCTAAAAATTAGGTAGATTTTACAATTATAGTCTCTTTCTTTCCTTCCAGCTTTTATGTGTATATATATATAAATATAATTTGGTATGAGGTTCTCAGATAAACATGTACGGTTGAAGATTACACCCCATTTTGCAGTTAGAAGTTTTTTAAATAAAATTTCAACAACACGAAGCTGTTTTGTTTCAACTTTATTAAACTGTGAAGTTTGGCTGACGGCCGTTTCGGCTAATGCCATCATCGGAGCCTAGATTGTACTACTCTGGCCAGAAGGCTTACGATGCACGTACAGAACGGTGCCATTAAAGAAAATATTATAAAATCTAATATCTCCATGTGTAATGGTGAACATAAACTTAAACTCATCATATATTATAAAACTAACCGGACTTCTAACTTAATAATAAAAAATAGTAATAGACATTCTACAAGTATTCTGGAACAGAGTAGCGTGGTGTACAGCTTCAATTGTCCTATGCCACACAGTGTTGTGGAAAATTATGTTGGGCATACGCGTACTACTCTGGCCAGAAGGCTTAAGATGCACGTACAGAACGGTGCCATTAAAGATCATATGCTCAAATCTCACGGTTTGCCACTAACCAGAGCATTACTTGATGTTAACACGAAAATACTTGAACGTGAATCGCACCCAGTTCGCCTCAAAATTAAAGAAGCTTTATATATCTACAAGAATAAACTCGCTATGAATAAACAATTTAATACTATTTTACTAACTTTTTATATACATTTATATTTTTAACCATAAATTTAATTTGTACATGTTTTGCATTGTTTTCACTAACAAAGGTTTCTCGTTATTTTCTTAATAATTTTATTACACATACATTTAATATGCATTCTAATTTTATAAAAATATTTCATGCTATTCTTATTTTCATAGGCTCTGAAGATGGACTTCGCGAAACAGCGCTGTTAGCCTTACCATGTCTATTGTTTAAAATAAATACGAGTTTAATAAATTCAGACTTGTTGAGTGTTCATTAAAGAAAGTCATTAATGCAAAATGGGCATATATCTTCAATATATATATATATATATATATATATATATATATATATATATATATATATATATCAGCATGTTCGGCGTTAACCATCTTCGGTGTTCAAATTGATATGTTGTGGTTGTGCCCAGATGATCAAATATTTTTATACTGTGCCTATTTATTGGTTCCTTGTTTATTCAAAATGAATATTTATATTTACAACCTTTCAACGTCGTAAAATATAACACTTTTATGTGTTTTCATAATCGATACATATAACACTAAGTGTTTTCATTATTGATTGAGCCACAAAATTTCAATTTGAACACTGAAGATGGTATAAGAATACAGAAAAAAGCTTTTCTGTTCTATCATGCATAAAATAAACAAAAATTTTAGTTTTATTATTATTATTATTATTATTTCAGAGCACGGGCAAGCCCCTTGCCATCACAAAACAAAACTCAAAAAACTAAGCAAAATAAATGATTGTCCGAAGGTTAAAGGAATAAAATTAAATAAAACATAATTAAACCATCATTCGATTCGAATTATCAACCGAAAAATGACTGTAAATAAAAATATTAAAGAAATTTTCTACAGACATCAATTAGAATTAAACAATTACAATAAATTAAAAGTTTGCTCGCCAATTAAACTTTATATCACCAAAAAATCATCAATTGTCGATTTAAAAACAGACAGAGAATCCGCATTAACAGCAACCGAGGGTAGCATATTCCAATCTTCCACCACTCTATTTGAGAAGTAGAATTTATGACAGTCTTTATGAGAAATTGAGGCTGTTAACTTGAGGTTATGTCCTCTTGTACGCTCATCGCCAGAAAAAAACAAAGTAGGTCCAATATCAGCCGAAACACCCTCGTGTATTATCCTATAAACTAATATAAGATCGGCTCTTCGTCGTCTGAAGGCAAGAGACGGCAAACCCA